CTCCAGATCCTCAGCAGGCCGGGAAGCTCTCACTGGTAGATGGTAGGGAAGCTGTGAGGAAGTAAGAGAGAGAGAACTAGTCGTGTCTTCTCTCCGTTTCTCACTCTCTGTTTCCCAAATTCCCTCTCCACCCTTACTTTGACAGTTGCAGTCAGATCAGAGCTGTCATGGTGAATGAGGGTATTTGCCCATTTTTACCAGTGATACCACCCTGTCACTCACTCTATCTTCCTGTCAAGACAAAAGCAAAATCATAGAGACAGAAACAGAGGCTTTGAAGCAAGTGTCACACATATTGCAGCCCTTTTTAAGAAGAATAACAGACTGTAATGTTGTTTAAAGCATTTTATCACATAACAAATAGAACTCCTGCTAAAGTAGCTCAGATTTTAGCTTTAGGTGGTCAACCATTGCAACTCTGGCCCCCTTTTGTTTTGCCAGCACACTTTTTGTTTTTCAGGCGGTTTCTCTCTTGAGCCCATAGATTTGTTTTGGTATACATAGATGATGGCTCAAGTGGAAACTTGAGTCATCAAATTAGAGTTTAAGTCGAGATGCATGCCTCTCGGTCCTACTCTTGCTCTGGGATCACATTGCACTTTCTACTGTCTACAACCTTAAAATAATATGCTGACATTTTATCAAAGGGATGGAATGTTTATGATAAACGAGTAGGAGATTAGGGTCAAATTTAATGAAGATAAAGTGATTGGATTTGGTGGTTGCCCTTGCTTGGGCTGAGGACCCTGTGAATAGCCTTAGGCCAGCTGTAGGTGTGAACGTACCCGAGTACAAGTGCCGTCGTGATTTGGCTCTGGCAGCATAGGACAGGCTTCTCGCTGTCTTTTTTTATGCCTGGTGAGTCATGACTTACATAATTTCAGTATTTTTCAAACATATGACTTATTCATGCCTGTGGTTTGCATGCTGAAGTGGCTCAGGTAAAAGGCCACTCGCAGCATATTGACATCACCTGGGAGTAGAGCGTTGGGGGCTGTGTGCAAGGGCAGCACCTTTACTCATTCTACAATATGTCAGACGGCTGTGCCTGCCTTGTGGCACGGGGGAACTTTATCCCTTTCACCGTTTACACTTCAGTCTGGTGCAGAACGGGTCAGCCTGTGCCTCTTCACACGGATGTTAACTTAACGAGCTGTCACAGCGGGTCAGACGGAGTCCAGAGTGGAGTTCAGTGGGAGGGAGGGGTAGATTCACAGATGAGAAGGCAACTGCTTTCAACTTGCTTGTGAACAGATGTTAGAGGGATGGTGGTGTAAAGAACGTGTTGGAGAGAGAGAGGATGTTGTGGCAAGGAGAGGCCTGAGGGGAAGAGTCAAGGATTTAAACACTATAGAAGTGGAGAGAGTTTGTAAAAGCATGTGGTCAGATTTCTTTTCTTTTTTTCTTCTTCTTTCGGCCAGTTCTAATAATATAAGCACCTCTCAGACACAGAAATAACCGCCTGTGGAGAAGACTGTACCACATTTCCACATGGCAGAGACAGCTAGCTGAAGGAGGCAGGCAGCCATGGCAGTGGCCCAGATTGACTTGACAGTGCCGTAAAGCAGGAGGCCTGCCCTTACCACTTCCTCCACATATGGCAGGGATTCATCTCTGGGGTGCTCCCAAATAAAGAGCAGAAATGTAGTATAAGATTATCACCATATGACAGTACTATTCACCAGCTGAGAGGAGCAGTAAGAGGGGGCTGGCAGGCAACCAAAGGCCTTCGTTCAGTGGCTTTATACTGCCCCCTTCAGCATATTATTAGTTAATGCACTCAGGAAAAGATATTCTAATGCCACCAGATGTGTTCCCACTTTCATCTTTTTGAGACCTTTGAGATTAAAATCAAAAGAGGCCAAGCAAAAAAGGAATAGAACTAGATTATGCTATCTAACTAAGTTAAAGCAGCTGTAAAGGAAGGGATATCAAAGAGGGTTATGCTATTTTTGTTTTCTTCAAATCTGATATTATTATGTGTTGTTGACTGTGTGTTGTTGACAAAGCGGTCTCCTTCTGTCTCAATTTCAGGGCCAGGCAGACCTGCTGAAGCACGCTAAGAGCGAGTCACTGGACACTCTGCGCCAGATCCACTGTGCGGCTCAGTCCTGTGGTCTCAGTAAGAACGGAGCATCTTCTCCCCAGCTCCAGCACCATCCTCACCACCAGCTACAGCAGATCCAGATCCAGCAACAGCCTCAGGCCAAGGCCCACCCACAGCCTCTGCCACTGCACCAGTCCCAAACTCAGCCCATATTCCAGACCGCACCTCAGGCTTATCTCCATCCCCTTCCCCAGCAACATCCCCAGCTACCAGCTCTCCCTTTGGTTCAAACTGTTTCAAAACCTCCGGCCTATCCTCAACCCCCTCCCTTACCCCAGTTCCAGAGCCAGCAGCAGAGGGCCACAGGCCCTCTGGACGCCATCCCTGAGAAAGAGATGGTCGGTGACAATGCTGCGGGATCCTGCTGACCCGCAGCCTGTGCCCACAGAGAATCCTACCCAAAGAGAGACAGAGAGAGCGAGATAGGGATGCAGAAGCAGATAGGTGTAGAAGAAAAAAAGGAAGCCGGTAACGAAAGGGAGATGGAGGAAATGGCAGAGAGAGTCAAAGAGATGATGATGGTGAGGAGGACTCGTCGTGTTAGAAGTGAGACACAAGTCTGAGAGGATGTGTGAGTTGGCCAGAGCGCTTAAAGAGAAAAGGAGAGACCTCACCCTTCAATCACACATTTGTAAGCAGGGTGGAAAACTGGAAAGATAACGTCTACTTTTCTAGTGGATTTGGAAGAAAATCTTCCATCTGAGCCAAGAGGTTAAGGTCTCCTCTGTTTTCTCTCTTGTGAAAAGCCAAAAGGGTACCAGCTGGTAACAAAGCTCTGCTATGTGTTTCTGCATAGGGATACATACAGCAGTTGGATCAGTGAGTTAGATATGTCTCTCTCTGGGCAGTTCTAGTTACATGCCCCTCCACTATTTCGGTACTCTAGCTCTGTGGGTACAGGCTTTACCTCACATTGGCATTTTCTGCCACATTTCTTGCCTTTTCATTTCAGAGACTCCTTGGCTTGTCTTTGATTTCTTCATGCTTACACTGTTCCTCATCCATCTTAGACATATAGCTAAGTTCAAATCCTTACTCTTTTCAATGAAGAGGATGCCATCTTCATTTTAAGTGCACAAAGTAGAGCAGCTCGACTAGGCTGAGCTCTGTAGGAGTCACAGATAACCATTTTCACCCACAAACCAGGGAGCTGTAAAGCTTCAATACAAAAACAAACTGCACCTGTTCATTTGTTCAGTCACATCGATGCATCCCTTGCTGGTGTCAATCTCCATCGAGCCCCCACACATCTCCAGTGTCATTCCTTAGGATTTAAGTTCAGGGGTCTCCTTGTCTCCTCCCCAGGGGGCTATGTGTGTGTGTGACGTTACGTGAGTTGGTGTTTTGGTCCCCAGGGTGGAGCTAGCCCACGTCCGTAAGTGGCAGAGCTCCCCAGCCAATCACAACTGGAATATTTGACCCTGCCTGTTAGAGGTCAACGGTCAACAGGAATATGGTACTGCTGTCAATAAAAACAGAATAAAGTGAATATAGATGTAAACTGTATGTAAATGTACGAAAGGAACATATATTGCTATAATAATTCTTGCAGACACGGATATTACTGATTGATATTATAATAATTGTTGTTGGTTTTATTGATATTCTGATTCTTTTTTTAACATTACTTCCACATTTACAGTGATTTGACACCTGTTGTTCTGTGGTGCAGATCAGGACAACCAGTGCATGTGGGACTGGAATGAGGGATTACGGGTTAGCGCCACAACACAAGGGTCAAACAATAACCTGACCTGTGTTTCACTGCAAAGTGAGTGTGGATTCTGTAAAAGCTCCTTTAACTGGCCCATTAAAAACTGGCTTCATTGTTTATCCTGCCTGCTCTCTTTTATTTCTCTTTAATGACTTTGATGTAAAAATATGCCCGCTTCATAATTTGACATGAATTTCAGCAATGTATCAACCTGGAGTGACATTTTACTGAGAATGTTTTAGCTACGCAGGGTTCAGAGAATCACTATGCGTGAAGAGACTTTTTTTGATTGCATTCAAAAAGCCGTTGCTAGCTCTTTAGAGCATTTTGAAAGCAGCTTTCACAGTGAATCTAAGGCAATCAATAAAGCCTTCCAAAAGCTTTATTGATTGCTTTTGATGCACTGTGCTGCACTGTTAATTCTCCTGATGTAAAATTATTTTCTTATCAACGGACAAGAAGTAGGCCATTTGTTGTATCACACACAAGGTTGTCTATTTAAAGCAATGCCCCCTGTTGTCCATAAGATGGCAACAAAGATTAAGTAAATGGCGTTGATGAAAGGATGAAAAACAACAATCTGAAAGTCAATAATAGCCTCCGAGTGATGTTATGTTGACTCATAAGAGGGCCAGTATTCTACGGTTTAGAAATCAGATAATGTGGGAGCAGGGGTGTATGTAAGTGTTACTGGCGTCCCAAAAGAATATTTCTAAAGGCCTCTGTTTTGTTTTTGTTTTTTTCAATTAAAATCATCCTAGTTCAGCTTTTGGGTTCTGATTCAGCCGTGGGCCCATAGATTCATCAGCACTGTTGACATGGCTAGTGAACACTGTGTAGCGTGGGAGCAAGAAACACTGTTCTGCATGTGCCAATATAGTACCTTTTGTATGAGACAATAAAGCACATAGAATCTCATTAGCATGACTTTTGAATGGGCTTGTCTTTGTAACTGAGAAAGGGCATCTGGGCTGTTTCTATATTTATATCTTAGAACTCATAGAACACATTAGCTAATTAACTTCTGTCCCTCACAACTCATTATAATGGTATGTCTTCGTAAACCTTTGGCATGAGGCCACAAAGAAATACCTCCAGTTCATCAAAGGTCCAGAGAAGTGCCTAGGAGATGATCTGCCACGAGAGGCTAATTAATGGCAGCCAGCAACCCTTCAAATGAGAAAGGAGCAGAAACAAGAGAATTAGTGGTTTTGTGTCATATTTGTGGTTGGCCTGAATGACGTCCATCGGTGTGGACATCACCAAAGATATAAAAGACAGTTGTTCTTCCCCTGGGGAGATAAGAAAATTAGATGACTCCCCTTCATACAAGCCAGAAGATGACGTGGTTCCCCGCCAACTTCCAGAAAGCTACTGGGATGGACACATCTAACAGGGTAAGAGAGCTCGAGTTTGATTTTTTTATTTAAAAATGAGTGGAAAAGATATTTTTTGACAGTGCAAATGCATGGTTTTAAAAGTTTCTTAAGGGGGGTTACTCATTCATGAGTTTGTAAGATGATGTTTTTCTCAAGACTTATTTTTTATAGTATTTTCTAAGTATTTTGATTTGATTGGTTGTGTTAGCGTCTCTTCAATTCTTAAGTTTATGTGAGAAAACTGAATGCATTTGTTATGAATATTTATGTAACCTGAGCATTTTACACCTGGCATTGCTTCACTCTGTCACTGAGACCCTATGGAGCACTTTCACATGGTGAAACGACAGTTCCTGGGTTGGGAACTGTAGGGTATCCTTACAAAACTTCTCTGGGACAGAGAACACTCTGTCCCAGAGTGAGAGAAAGAGAAAAGAGAAAGAGACACTTTCTGCGGGGTAAACAGGCATGTACTCATGGGTAATCAATGTCTTTACATAGGAATATTATATATAAATATATAATATGTGTCCAGAACTTTTTCAACATTTTCAATGATGCATTCAGTGCATTCCATTAGATTAGGATGATTTTATTTATGTAATGTTACTTTGACTAGAGATTAAGGTTTTAGCATGTATAGGTGGAATTAGTGTCAGTATGATATTATTGTAGATGCAGTGATTCATGGATTTATGCATGGGTAAATAATTGTGCACAGTACCATTATCCCAACAGCTGGTCATGGTGATACTCTGCATCATTGACTAGAGTTTGGGGATTTATTATGTATATAAAGAATAAATGTCAGTATCATCTTATTAGAAATGCAGTGATTCATATACTTTATGCATGGGAGATTGCATGTCCATCTTTGATTCACTCCAATGCATCAACCAATATTATACATATTAAGCAACATGTTAAGCATATCGTCAATAACATATAAAATAATTAATATGTACATTTCCAACACATGCAGATAAAGAATTCTCTTAAAAAGTTTTTAGGCCTACAGATTGTATTCTTGTATCAGTTCTTTTGGGTGTAAACTCATCTCTTTTGCCCAGCAGAAAGTCCTGGTGCTGGTTTTGATGTTGTTGCTGTCTCAACTGGCCTGTGATGCTCACAGTGTGTCCGAGTGCTGCAGACAACCATCTCGCTCCTGCCGCCTCTATGTGTTGCTGTGTCGCTCTGGCAGCAAGACCTTTGGAGGACCTCTCACAGGAGATGCTGCCGCTGGCATCCTCACTCTGGGTAAACGGAAAGACAATGAGGATCGCTTGCAGAGTCGCCTCCATCAGCTCCTCCATGGCTCCAGGAACCAAGCAGCAGGGATTCTGACTATGGGGAAGAGGACTGAAGAGAGGGCTGGAGAGCAGTACATGGACTGGATGGCTCGATCAGGAACTACCATCACAACGCCCCTACCTGTTTTAAATTAAATAGTAGTATAAGCATACTGGGACTTTCAAAATCTAGTTTAAAAAAATAATTTTGTGATTTTCTTTGAACTGTGCCTTTTTGAATTTGACATGATGTGCTTTTGCAGATAACATTATGAAGATGTGTAATGTTGTACATATGTAAAACACCTTTTGGTGTAATAAAAAATATACAGCTGACATCATGTCTTTAATCATTCTTGGGTGGATTTCTGGGGCTATATATGTATGTATATGTACATGTACTTATATTTATATACACACATTGAGAGAGAGAAAGAGAGAGAGATGGTCATTCCAAAAGTAATAAAGTAATAGCAGAGTTATCAACTGGCTCTTCTTTCAAACATTATTAGTACAAATGAGTATTCTCACAGAATCTAATCAAAACTACACAATCTAACTGATGATGAACTACATGAATACATGAACAATAATTACTAGAAGTAAGAAGGAAAACAGAAATTATTATCTTGTATATTATATTAAATATGATATTTATTCAAACATTAGGGAGTGTATGAAAAACATTGGATGTGGGGGTGGTGATATTTCTTTTTGCTGAAGGGAGGGTAATTGGATTGTTTTGGGAGGTCAAGGCAATGTCTTTTTCCTTGACCCAGATTTATATTTCATTTCATTTTGTTGTGTGTGAGATTACATGAAATAGACTAAATAGTTAGATAAAAATGTCCTTTGTTCACAGAAGATAATTGTGCCATTCATGTCTCTGTATCTGGTCTGTTTTGAGAAACAGTAGATGGATCTCTCTCTTGCTAGTAGGGAATAAACATTACTCTGAAGAGCATTACAGTGTTTCACTTGATTCAAAAAAATAAAAAAAACACTACAGTAACAGTAAACAGAGAGCATCATTTGTTATATTTTCCTATATGCAATATGGGCTATGTAAGAATTGTTATTCCATCAAGACATTCAACGTGAAATTGCTTGAGTTGGGGTTTTAGAGGGCGAGGGTGTTGCACTTTTTGGTCAGGAAAAGGGAGGGTTCAAAGCAAATACATGATCCAATCCCCCTCCCCACCCCAATAATTTGTGTGCTGACCCTTGCACTGAATCAAAGCCCAGCATCTCAGCTCACACCCAAGAGCCCATCATAGTTTGGGAATAAAGACGACCACAAGATGGTGCTGATATGATAAAAAGTGAGAGAGCTAGTGATACAAGTGACAGAGCTGATGTCCTATCCAATAGGATGCCTATGCTTCTTTTGTAAAAGATATAAATATAGTTGTTCTATTTCTGTTTGCCCTGACTCATGTGTGGTACTCTGTAAACAAAATTGAGTGTCTGTATTTGCACTTGCTAATCAAGATATTTAATTTAATTTAAAGGGACACTTCACCCATTTGCATTAAGCTTTGTATCGTTAGAAACCCAGTCATATTTTTGAATGGTCGTGCACCATTCCCTCATTTTCCCCTGA